TCTAAATTGCTCCCATGCGAAGCCAGAATGATACGTTAGTTTATAGTTTTAGTAATGATTTTAATGTAAAATCTCATAGTAGAGCTCTATCGCAACTAGTTTAGATTATGCGTAATCAGACTCTGCCTTTTTTCTTTTTAATTCCATTCGCAGTATCGATATTTTGACCATATCGACCATCCCTACCGGACATTTAAAAAATCATATCAAAAAATAGAATCAAACCATGTTACGTTCTGATCCCAACCAAATTAGTATCAATTTTGCGTTCAATTGACAGGATTTATGGGTAGTGCAGTCGCCTCATCCGGCGAGGGTGGCCATGAGTGCGGTCTAAATGCGGACAATTTATTGCTTATTGAATACAAGATTGTCTAATGCTTTGATAAACCGCAGTTATAATATTAATGTGTTATTTAGATACTAATACGGATACCGGTATAAATATTGGCATACCACTTCTGGACGAAGTTATTTTAAAGTCTTATTGTACTTATGTCTCTATTTGTGTAGATTATTTTATTGAATGAGTATACTTTATTTGCATTATACAATATAAAAAATAAACAAGACAATTTACAAACACAATGATACAATTGTATACATCGTTCAAAGCAATCTTTTCAAAAGGACTAATTGTTATACAAGTAGGTATGCATCTTTTGAAAAAAAAATATATAAAAATTATATTATACACATACATACACATTCTCTCTCTCTCTCTCTCTCTCTCTCTCACACACACACACACACACACACACACACACACACACACACACACACACACACACACACACACACACACACATATATATATATATATATATATATATATATATATATATATATATATATATATATATATATACATACACATAATATACATATCAATAAAACAAAATTATATAATCTCATGCATATAATGTTAAATATGTACCCAATACTATTATTATAGATTAACTTTTTTTTTAACTGTGACATCGTTCACGTAAAAGGAACATGTCCACGAAAAATATTAGTCTACGTCCTTCTCCATCTCATATAATATAGTGTATAAGACATTTCATAGTGATTGATTCACTATAATCTTCAATATAAGCTGTAAACTTTTACTAGCAGTCATATTTCCTAAAGAATCGTGTACCGAAAACAAGACAAGAAATTTGGAGTTATCTATACTAATGCAGCTCGATGCCGTGTCAGTATAGAAAGTTTGTTACTTACATTTTTTACTTAAAAAAGTTATTATTTTATATTTATTTATTACATCCACTGGGTGAGCCTTACAGTCTTCCAATACGCTCACCCAGGAAAGCATCAGTACAATAACATATAAAAAGGAATATTACACAAAAATATTAAACAAAAATAATATAAAAAGATTTAACTGAAACAAAAAATGTCTGAACACACTTATTCCCAATCATTGCTGATTTTAATAAACGACAAAAATCGCTCGCATACTTACACGTATCGCCGTGTGGTCCCAGCATAGAATAGGCTACCCCTTCCTTTCCCGTGGGTGTCGTAAAAGTCCCCTAAGGGAGGGCGAGAGATGGACAACAGCTTCCCTCTTAAAACATCTCTAAAACCTAAATGCGGTGGCCAACCTGTCTGTCAAGCGCGGCAACTACTGGCAAAACTTCCCTTAGGGGGAAATCTTATATTCAGCAGTGGACAGTTAAGGGTTGAATTAATAATAATAATATTACACGGCACGTCCAGCTGTTGAGTTAATATGGGAGGTTTAGCAGAGGGAGACTTTGTACAAAAGTCGATTGCCTGGGTACCTCTGTCCCATTCGTGTTTCTACCGTGAAGCAGTTATGTTTGCATGGCTGTGTTTCGGTTTGAAGGGTGGGTTATAGCGTGAATTTACAGGGTACAGAGGAATAACACCTGAGTCCTCAGGAATGGCAACGCATGGGGGTATCACGGGCGAAACAGTATACTCTGTTATATCCATGGTACTGCTCATATCTATAGGCAACGGTTACCATTTTACATCAGGTGGGCCGTTAGCTTGTTTGTCATTCTAAGGTGTATAAAAAAAATTCACAATCGTTTTTTGATACATGTTTCTTAAAAAATACATATTCAGTTTAACTAGTAGAAAACTCTCTTAAAAGTATATAATTAATTTCGATTTCATCTCAATTCAGCCTGTATCGTCTTTAGAAAGATTTTTAAAAAAATATGACAACCCTAAACTTTTTTATGCAACTGACAATGGCAAACAAGGAAACAATTTTCAAAAGTAGGGAAATTTGATACTCGGATAATAACTTTTTCACATCCATCACTTGTTTGTTGATTCAATATCAGAATGAAAATATCGTGCAACATACACACATATACACTTATCATATTACGAACTCAAGAACGTTTTCCTTCTTTGGAATAGGTTAAAAACAATTTTAAGTGACTTAAATTTAGTATTGATATAATCCTTTTCTATTGGCTAACTATTATTAGATTTATTACTAAACCACTTCTTTTCTGTAGAAGGAATATCCTTTTAAGAAACAATTTACTCGAATCGTGCATGACGCGTGGGTGAGTTATGGTTTTTATAGTGGTATTTTTTATATTCTTTTGACTATGTATGCAAAAGAACTTATTTTGCATATAGGTAATGTATTTTCTCAATCTATACAAAGTTATTTATATAATTTTAGATACTGCATAAGTATAAATGTGAAAGTGTGCTCGTGTGTTTATTACCTGTTGGCGCCTTAACGATTATGGAAACGAAAATCGCGTAACCGAGATTTGTTTGCCGCTGGAAAAAAAAAACTAATAAAAAATATATTTTATAAAATATATACTTACTAGATTATACTTGACAATAAATAAATGTATATATATTATTATTATATATTAATTATGTTATTATTATATTAATGTTTAATTTTTTTATTTTATTTATTTATTTTATCTTAAACTTTCTATAATACTAAATATACTCATACTTTTAAATTATATTATTTCAATAACTGGCAATTAAATATAAATTATACTTATACATCTGAAATAAAATTTATTAATTTTCATTTATTATACACAATGCGTGGTCACAGTAGCTTAGCATTAAACATTTCTTGTGTAGGTTTTTCTTAATGAAGACACACGAGGGGTCAGATTTTTATAGCCAAAGACCTGTTTTATTGCCGATGTTATAAGCTGAAATGGCCTGCTGAAAGATTTGGGGCGGAATAATGGGACCAGGTGTTTTGGGATGTGTGATTTACATGCACAACATAAATTATTGGACAGAATTATTTTCTTATTAATACGATAATCAAAAAACAATGTTATTATAAATGTTTTTTTTTATATCACTGACGTGGCAAACAAGTATATGGCCTACCTGATGGTAAGCGGTTACCGTAGCCATATAGTATTATATTATCTGTGCCGTAGCCTATGAACGCCGACGGTACCAGAGGTATTACGCGCGCGTTGTTAACCCTAAAGAAACCTCTTTACCCCTTTTTTGAAGAACCCCATGCTGTAGTCTCTTGCAAAAATAAAAAAAAAATCCTTAATATTAAGAAAAAAAGCTACTTTTTATCCCGGTCAAATGCTGTTCCGGTCGTGCGAGCGAAGCCGCGGTCATAGCTAGTCGATTTATATATTTATGACTGTTCACTATACAGATAATTAATCAGTCAGCCGAATTCCTTTGTAAAAATAGAGAATGCGTCGGAATAACTACTCAGGCATTTGTTATTATTAGCTCCCGAATCACTTTGTAACATTCGCGTATACTCGTATACCTACAAGTATTTATAATCCATGTCACTTATATATATATATATATATATATATATATATATATATATATATATATATATATATATATATTATTTAAATTTAAAAAAAAGAATGAGATTAATAAAATTAGGAAACAAACTTTTCTAAATTCTAGGATCTAATCTAGGTCGTGACCTCAAGTGGTCGTTGCCTGGTTTCTCATAACCCTAGCTTGATGACCAAGCATTTACTGTAATTATATGCCGCAATTTTTTGATTATTATATTTTATTACGTCACAATTTCATTAATATCATTGTATTATTTTTATAATAGTTATTTTTTATAAATATACTTTTTCACCATTCACTTTATTCTTTATTGATTTAGTATTAATTTCATTTAGTATTTATAATTCTACGGAATTTTATCAATGATACATTCTTTTTATATAATTACGATATTTGTACGTAGTATTCTATTCTCTTTATTTAAAATTTGTTTATTTAAAAGAAATGTGTCACAATTCTGTAAAAGCGATACTTTCGATCCAGTTCTGAACCGATTTTAACATTTCTTTTTTGCAATCAACATGTTTTACTATCATGTCGGCCCTCTTTATGATAAAAATTCAGTATTTGAGAAAAAAAATAATAATACTTAAACTGTTAGAATAAAATAGCAATAAGCCAAAGATAATATGTATTAATAATGACATAGTTTTGTATATAATTTTTACTGTTGGACAACTTATTATTTAATACTTCGTATAAAGTAATAAAGTGATATAAAATATTCATAAATACATCTGTATAAATGAATATTTATAGTAGCGTTATCATTAAATATTATATATAAATAAATTATAAACAAAATAAATAATTATTTATTATTGTTATTAATTCGTAACTAATACCTATGTATATATATATATATATATATATATATATATATATATATATATATATATATATATATATATATATATATATATATATATATATATATATATATATATATATTAATTTTTACACATCAAATAATTATTTATCATAATTGTTTTATTTTGTCCATCTTCTGATTTTATCGTCATTTATAATGTTTTCTTTCAATCCGTTATTAGTTATTTATTCATTAAAATTATAAAAGCTCTTCCTAAATATATATTACAAATACCGTAAGAAACTTGTTTCTTTCATATTGTTATGTATAAAAATTTGTATACATAAATATTGAAAATACTTACAATGCGAAACAATTCGGTCAGCACCTTTTGTAACAAATCACATTAGCACATAATAAAAAATATATATACACAAAAAAACACAATCGTAAATTTATTTTACACTTCGCGATAACATGCGCGAGAAACTTTGGACGCATCCAATACAGAAAACACGTCCAAACAAAGCGCTGTTCGCGCGTCTACTGACTGATGCTCTAAAAAAAAAATTCCTCGCCCATAAATTTTCAGTTGGATCACGCATTTGCGAGGGCGGGAAAGCCGTTCGAAATGTGAATTCTGTTGTCTATGACGTGTTCAGATACGGTGACGTGTCTAACGAAAAAGTTTCCTTTACTTAGCGAAAAAGCAGGTCAATGGTGAAGAAAATATTTGTGTTCTTTCCACGATGTAAAACTAATTATTATTTGTTTCTTGGAAATACTACACACAAGCAGAATACACGATAGTGTGTTACAAATTGAAGAGTCATACTTCAAGGTTGGGTTCCTAATTCTAAAAAAGAAAATAACGGCCAAGGACATATCGGCCACCCGCTAATAAGTTCCAAAACTTGTTTTAAAGTATTGGTTACTTGATAAGACAATTATTTTTATTTATTCCATTTTACATTTACTTGGTATACGTAATTTACAAACGACTTTAAAAAAATGAGAAGGTTCCCAATTCGATAGTATTTTTTAATTTTTATTACCTTATAACTCGGTCAGTTATAGACCAAGTTGAAATTTTTTTTTTTTATCGGAAAAGCTATATAAAGATAAGATAAGGTAAGATAAGATAAACGGAAAAGAAGGGGTGGCCTATTCTATGCCGGGACCACACATGGGTGACCTTATCGCTAAAAGCGATTTCTTCCAGGCAGCCTTTGGATGGAGAGAAATATTTATAAACAGTTTGAAATTAAATTAATTAATTAAATTAAATGATCGATTCTATATCGATCATTTACTTTAATCGATCGATTCGATTAATTGGTCAAGTTTTAGATTATATAGACAGAATGTCTCCACACAAATGCCCTGAAGAAAAAAAGCGGGTCAACTTATTCATACAATTTCGCCACAATTTGGCGTGCAAAATTTAGACTTACTTTTGTAGTAAAATGTTGGAACATTTATTAAACAGCTGCCTATAGCAAGTATAACTTTTTTTTTGTGATAAGACGGTTTTTTTTAATGGGTAATAATGTAATGGTTACCCCGCCTGCGTTATCGGTATACGCCGGCGGGGCTCCATTGGGGAATAATAAATGAGAATGAAAGTAGGTCAGCTAGTTCACCGTGACGGTTTCCGCAAGAATCAAAATGATTCACAGAGGGGACCGCGTGGAGGTCGGTCTGTCAGGGTTTTTTTTAATGCAGCTTAGAATGGCAAACAACCTGACGGTCCACCTGATTGAAAGTGGTAACCGTCGCCTATAGACATGAGCAGTACCATGGACAACAGAGTATACTGTTTCGCCTATGATACCCCCCATGCGTTGCAATTCCCGAGGACTCAGGTGTTATTCCTCTGTACCCAGTAAATTCACGCCATATCCCACCCTTCAAACCGAAACACAGCTATGCAAATACAAGTGCTTCACGGTTGAAACACGAATGGGACAGAGGTACCCAAGCAAATGACTTTTGTACAAAGTCTCCCTCTGGTATATTGTCAGTAATAAGAACACTAGTTCCCATCGCTAGCAACTTACCCCGTCAGATCGACCTCCCTACGGTCCCCACAGGAAACCAACGAGATTAATTACTACTGAATTCGCCAGGATAGACCTGACATTATCTTCCCGGAAAAAGGATTGTTAGTATTTAAAATAAGTGTCTACAACACGAAAGTTTAGAATTAAATTTATACACATAATGCAAGACTTTATCCCAAAAAATATTACTTGTAAAAAAGAATCCTAGGGTCCTCGAAGGTGGTAAGGGCAGTAGTCACCACCTTCTAGGACCCTAAATCTCTTTCCAGGAGATGAGTAATACTTGGAGACTACGAATCTTTCATCGACCGACTCCCCAGGATTCACCAGTACCTCACTCAGATAGCCGATCTGAGTAAGGTACTGGTGAATCCTGGGGAGTCGGTCGATGAAAGATTCGTAGTGTTCAAATCATATGGATCTCTCCTAAGTACAGATGGGCAAAGCACCGGGTTTAAACCCGGTGCTTTGGTAAAAACCCAATAAACACCCATAAACTCCCATAATCACCCAAAAAAATAGGTTTTTACGTATTTTTTTGAAAATATGTAAGTAATACCAATAAATTATTTTTATAAATTGTAGTGATCAATTCTACAATATTAAATAAAACGTTAACTAATAATATTTCAGGAAATTTTAAAAATCTATATATAATAAAATGAAAGTAATTAATTTTCAGTGTTTTCATGTTGCAGTTGATCAACATGTTGGCCTTTTGCTTCCCGTAGATACTTTAAAATTTCTTCATAACACCTCGTTCGCACACATGGCCGTATATATTTAAATTCTTGAGCCACTAACAGTCCGAAATACTCATTTCTTTTATCCTCTTCTCCATAAATTAAGCATTTAGAACAGTTTGTTTCTTCTTTCAGTAAATTTTCTTTTACTTTATCCTCGTTTTTTTCTTTGTTGCGACGACGCTGGGTAAATCATCTGGACACTGGGTCTCACTATCGCCAAATATATTTGGAGATCGGCTTCGGCTACGGCTTGGCAGACATTTTTTTCTTTCTACAATTTTAAATTAAATTTATTAGAATAAATGCTTCGAACACACGCGATCTAAGTACCTTTTGTGTTTATTATACCTTACCTACCTAGGTATAAAAAGAGTACTTACGTAGATTTTCTTTTATTAACTGTTTTATACGAAGATCTTGATCTCTCAAATTAGCATCCATTTTACTTCCAGTGATTATCAACTAAATTAATAATCCACAAAGTATTAAATAACGTTTTTATGAAATATTTAGCACAAAAACAATACCCTTTAAATATCGATCGTCAGTAACTGTGGCTGACTTACCTATATTCTAGCAAGCAGGACTGCCAGATGTGAAGGGGAAATCCCCAATAAATTGTTGCATGTGACTGATGATGTGAGCATGTTCGTTTCATAATAAAAATGTTGCCAGGTAACCAAAAAGTCGTATGTTTTTGTGCGAATTACGATCATAATCTTTACGATCGTACATTAAAAAATAGACAAATAATAGTATGAGTACGATTTAAATCGTATATCTGTCAACCCTGCTAGCAAGACAGCGACAAAATCACGTTGCATAACAATGTAGCCCAAGCTTATATCTTATGAAATATACGGAAGAGATACGGACTTAGAAAAAACAGAAATGTTGTTCTTTGTGGAAGTCATTGATGAAATTCTATGTATTTTAGCCCGCAAACTTTCTTCAAACAAAAACAGCGCCATCTAGTATCGAGTTCTGTAATTATCTCTTTGTTTATGGATTTGAAGTAAGACCGCCACGCATGCAATACATTATGACTGGGGATTCCCCTATTCGTCGACGCTGAATATAAGGCGACGACAATCACTGTCAAACGTGTTCACTATTACTCTGACTCTGGTAACGTGACTTCCTGGTAACGTGTTAGGTAGGAAAAGCAGTAAAAAAGTGCATATTAAGGGAGCAGATTTGAAATAATATTTATACTTAACAAGAAATAATTAAAGGTAAGTGGATTTTTGAATGATACAATTATATCATGATCACTTAACAATTTTAACTTAAAATTAGATGTATTATTACAAGCTTTTATTTAGCTTGCGTTATGTAAATAAAAGTATGTAGGTATGTTCGTATGTTGATGCAATTATCCTCAATCCTCAACCGACTGGGATAAAATTTTCCATACACGTTTATTTTGGATGATAGTGCATAGTTAGCTGAGAGTCGTCATTGGATAATAATGGTGGATAGCCTAAGATGTGTACTAGATATTTATTTTTAACATAATATGCGTAAGTACCTAATCGAATTAAAGAAGTTGCTGAGAAAAATACAGAACAATACGATAATAAACTAGCGTCTGCGTTTAATCCTCCGAGGAGATGTAATTTTACAAAGGTTTTTTGTATTTATTTTATTATTTTTTTAATAAATTTATTGTAAATAACAAGAAATAATCATTGTAAAAAAATAGGCACTCTATTGTTGAATTTTCGTCAGACCAACTAATCATCGTTCATTTTTTTAGGTTCAATGGGGAGACCTAAAGATTTACGCATATGGGAGCACTACCGTACTTTACCAAACAAGTCTGTTTCTTGCAAGCTTTGTAATAAGGTCTACAAATTCAGTAATGCTGCCAAAATGCTTCAACATCTTATCACTTGTCCAAAATCTCCAGAAACATTAAAAGACTCTATGAAACTTATAAAAGATAGCTCGTCCAAAACCAAAATGTCTGGACTGTCAGAGATAGAGACAAATGATTCTTTTATAAGCCCCTCGTCGTCTGCTAACACTACAATAAATGCTGAGTTTCAAGACACCGATGATCATATAAAAACAGAATTAGCGAGAGCTATATTTGTAACAGGGACGCCATTATCGATGGTGCAACATCCTTTATGGATACAATTTTTCGAAAAATTGCAACCAAAATTTAAAATACCTTCACGTAAAGCTTTAGCGACAAAATACTTAGATAAAATATATAGAGAAATGCGTTTTGAGTTAAATGAGGAACTAAATGCTTGTAGTTACTTACACCTTCAGTGCGATGGCTGGTCTAATTTAAGAAATGAAGGAATAATAAACTTTCTTATATCAAAACCTCAACCTGCATACGTTAAAAGTTTGAATACAGAAAGTAATCCTCACACTAGTGAATACCTTAGCCAAGAAGTTGAAAAAGTAATGAAAGTGTATGGAGCAAATAAGTTTCTTGTACTTATTGGCGATAACGCTAGAAATATACAAAAGGCATTCGAATTAACAAAACTCAAATATCCACATGTTGTTCCTCTCGGTTGCTGTGCACATATCCTTAACTTGTTGTGCCAAGATATTGTAAAGATACAAGAAGTAACTGTGTTTATTATGCAAGCCATAAATATAATAAAAACTGTTAAAAGGAGTCAACGATTAAGTTCCTTGTTGATAAAATCAAGGCAGGGTGAAGATTCTACACAAACACTAAAATTGCCTTGTGCTACAA